CTGGATCCCTGGGAGGCACCAGTGGGACTCCATCACCCTCATACAACAAGCCCTGCCTAAGCACCTACTGCATGCCCAACCCCAACCCTGGCATTCAGAGGACAGGAAAGAGCCACACCCCTGACCTCTAGGAGCCTGTAGGCCAGCAAGGAAAAGCAATCAAGTAAACGGATCCCAAGGACACCCCGGGCAGGGGTAAAAATAGAGGTGTGTCCCCTGAGGCCTGCAGGTGCCTGTGCCAGAATGATTCACCCTGCAGGAGAAAAGAGGAGGGACACTCATGGGGACATCCCAGGGAGTGCTGGAAGGAGCCAAGAGTACTGGATGGGGAGGAAGAGACCTGAGGGCGTGGGCCAGCTCTGCAGAGTAGCCCAGAACATGTCTGCTTAGGCCCCCAGAGTGGGACAGGACTTCAGTGTAAGTGGCTCAGGGTCTTATTCATGCTGACTCACAGACTGACATTCCCTTCCAACCCCTCCGATCCAAGAAGGAGCAAGCCGTGGTCTTGGTGCCACATCATCTTTATGCCACTCAACACTTGGCAACCTGCCCTTTAAACAGAGAGGGTGGGCATCGGGGTCATGGCACCCACAGTATGCAGCTAGGACAGGACAGTGTCGTTCCATCCCTACACCACATTACTTTAACTGTCACTGGGTAGTGGGTTCCCATGAATAGTTTCTATAATGCCACCTTTTAAAAATAAATTTAAGTTTGGAAAATAAGTCTGTTTAGACAAATGCTGTTAAGGTCTGGGGACATGACTCAAGTGGTACAGCATTTGCCTAGCAAGCCTGAGTTCAAACTCCAGTACCACCAAAAAACAAAAACATAAAAGAAATACATTAAGGAAGAAATACTAGAATTGGGGGCTGGCGGAGTGGCTCAAGTGGTAGAGCGACTGCCTACTACTTCATATAGGACAATTTAACATCAAAATTTAAGGGCTGGAGACATGTATAGCTAGCTCATCGGTATAGTACTTGCCTAGAGTGGTCAAGGCCCTGGATTTGATCCCCAGCACTGCAATCAATCAATCGATAAAAATAGAATGCTCAGGCAAAACAAGCAACACAGGCTGGAGGCGTGGTCAAGCAATAGAGTGCCTGCTTTGCAACGTGCAAAGCCCTGAGTTCAAACTCCAGTCCCACACACAAAAAAAGCAACACTATTCTATTCTACACTGCTAATTGTTCCAGTGGCAACTGCCCTGTAGGAAAGGGGTAGCGACTGAAGAGGGCAGGAGGGGGCTTCTGGCTTCCACTGTCCTTTCTACTGGCTGACCTGGGGACTGTCCGCACAGGTGTATGGCTAACTTTTTGAAACCCATCAACTACGAATGCCTACTTTAGGTATATTTCTGTTTATATTATCCAATCATGTTCCCTAACCCTTTGACACAGCAATTTTGGGTCTAGAAATATCCTGCAGAGACATACAAACACATAAAATGACACATTCAAAGCTATCACTGCATCACCTGCAGCAACAAGATTGGCAAGTCTCAGAATTTCCCAGCTGGGGCAGATTAAATCAATTTTGGCATAGCCTAGAGTGAAGTTTATGTGCATATCCAAAATTTACAAGGATTTATAGTTGGTAGAATGGCTCAAGTGGTAGAGTGCCTGCCTAGCAAGTGTGAGACTCTGGGTTCAAACCCCAATACCACCAAAAAAAAAAAAAAAGCAAAATTTACAAGGATTTAAATTTAGGCAAAAAGTAAAGGGCTCTACTCAGTTCTGTATACAGTTTGCTACATTATGTGGGGGGTATATATCGTAAATATATGTGATACCAATCTTGAGTTTATCGGTTTTTGTCCAGGGTTGGCAGAAGAATGACAAGCCTGGACAAAAACAGGTGAGTGGCAAGTAAGAAAGAAGTTTATTGAAATAAAGACAGAGTACCTGCTTGGATGGGACTCAGAAAGACTGAGCCTATGAGGTTTTACTAGTTTTTGGCATGCTTTTGGGGCAGATTTTCGCATGCCCCTGGAAAGTTTTCTGATAGGTAAGCCCTGGGGTGGGCCCTGGAGACAGCTTTCTGACAGGTGGGCCTTTATCCCTCCTTATCCTGAGTCCAGCTTTGCACTCTCAGGGTTGTCTGCGTATCTCTGTTCTCTTGCCTAACATCAATTTCTTTCTGACTTTAACCGCTCCTTTGTGGCCCCCAGCCCCAACTACCTAAGGTCAAGCTAACTCACAACATATGCTTGCTGCCTGTTTATGCTAGGACACCCTTTGCCTAGGGCACCTCAGGAAAAGATCACACAAAACTGATAACAGAGGTCTCCTCTAGAAGGGGCAAACCAGAAAAGTTGTCACTGACTCTTTCTTTTTGAGAGAATCTTGCCAAGAAGCCCAGGCTGGTCTTGAACTTGAGAACCTCCTGCCTCAGCCTCCTGAGTGCTGAGATTACAAGTATGCACCACCATGCCTGGTTCCTCTTCTACTTTTAAATTGTGTAGTATTGCATGCATTTCCTATCAACAACAATTTTTAAGGAAAAAGTCTTACAGAAGGTATGTCGGCTATGGTAAAATCTTATGGCCCCTCCAGGCCTAAATACAGAGATGAGAGTGTTAGCACTTAGGGATTCTGAAGTAACCCTTGCCCCCACCCCTCCTCTTGCCAGGGGCAGAAAATGGCACCAAGATAATAGGCTTCTCTGTAAATGGCTTCTAATTAACAGTGAACCCTTCCAGAACAAATTACTTAACTGAGCCTCCGCCCTGCAGTCAAACTCTGGGACCTGGAGCTACCCTGCCAGAGTTGGCAGGTGGCTGAGTTCTGACCATGGATGGGGAGATTTTAAGCAGAAATACTTCCAGGATTGGGAATAAGACAACTTCAACTGGCTAAAGAGGAAGGATGTCTCATTCAGTCCCAAGAGAAGCAAAGCAAGGGTCAAAAGGTGGACTTTTCTGGGGACTGCAAACGACAGTGACCGAGGCCTTCAAAATTTGAGTTTGGTTTTATTTAACTGCATACACCACCTTTGTAGAGCATTTTTCTTGTTCATACTGTCACCACATCATTAATCCTAAAAACCAGTTCTGTGAGATGCAAGGCAGGTGTACATTTGTCCATTTTACAGATAAGAAAATGGAAGTGTGGGGAGGTGAAGAGCCTGGCCAGTGGTTACACGTCAGGGAATGGGTGAAGTCAGAAATGGAACCCTTATCTTCCCACCCATTGGCCTCTCCTTTTAGCTCTGACCTACAGAAAGAGGAACTCACAGGCCAGACAAGGCCTGCAAAGAATCCCTGGGGACTTAAGGGACCCATGAGGCCATTCAGTGCAGCAGTTTCCAATGCTGACTACAAACTGGAACTACCTGGGGAGCTCAAGTAAATGTAAATCCTCTTCCAGGACACAGGAATCTGTAGTGTTGCTAGAAACTCCCATGTTGATTCTGATGCAATTTGGAGTGAGAACCCCTGAATTATACCTCAAATGATTCACCCCCCGCCCCCAAACCCACATTCAAACTTCTGTCTCCTTACAGTTTCCACCATGGGTCCCTGCTCCAACTTCCAGCCCCAAAACAACTTTCCATCTCTCTTTCACGTTATCTGGAGTCAGAGAATTGGGTTGGAGGCTGGCATGAGCTAAGCTAGACTTTTCTAGATGGAAAAGTTAATGAACAGTTCTGAGGCTAAAACTGGAAAAAGACTCACTTAAGACATCCCAATGAGTCAGTAACAGAGCAGGACTAGAATCAGGGCCTCCTGATCAAAGGACAAGGTCAGCTCCACAAAGGAATCCCATTGGTTGGCAGTCCAGAAGCAGCTGCTAGAAGAGATGAGGTGAGGGGCTGAGAAGGAAACTGAGAGAGAGAGAGAGAGAGAGAGAGAGAGAGAGAGAGAGAGAGAGTGTGTGTGTGTGTGTGTGTGTGTGTGTCTAAGGGACCATGAGGTGTCAGAGACCCTCTTTGGAGGCTGTGGGAAGTCTGCCCTTGTGGCATACCAGAGGCAGGGAACCATTCTAGAGAGGCAGGGGTGAAGCTGGCCTGTAGAAGGATGTCTTCATTTTCTTGAGTAAGGCCCAGACAATCTAAAATGCCCTTACAAACCTCAGTTTGTGGGCCGGGGGCGTGGCTCAAGTGGTAGCACACCTGCCTAACAAGCAAGAGACTGAGTTCAAACCCCACACCGCAAATAAATAAAATTTAGTCCCTTGAGACAGCTTACACCAGTCCTGTCCAGATACTCTGCCCATAATAATATTAATGGCTAACACTTCTTTAGTTCTCTGCTGTCTCTGTGCTTGGCCTATTTCAGTTAATCTTCTCCACACTCATTACTGTCTCCATTTGCAGATAGGGAAGTGGTCCAGAAAGATGAAGTAACTTCCCCAAGATCACTCAAGTAGAAAGTAAGTAGCGGTAGGACACAAAGCCTGATTCTGGTCCAACCACGGCTATCCTGCTCCTCAGCAGGGCAAAGAGGAGGGAACCCCCAGGACTGCAGAAATAGTAACTGAACACCTAGGAGGAGCGGAAGACGCTCTAGTGCCATGCTCCACTCCACTCGGAAGGCGTGCATCCTCCTTCCACCCAAGAGAAATCAGACACGCACAAGGGAACATCTTGCCTGGGGGCAGGGCCAGTAATAACCGGGACCAGAGCTGGAATCCAGGTGACCCCAATCACAAAGCCTGACCACTTCTCCACAGGTTGCTGGGGATACAAACTCAGTGGTGGGTGCGGCCAACACCGTAACCACGGCCTACCCAACTGCGGACTCCACTGGTGGAGCCACGAGGCGTTCTGCCGGCAACCGGCTCTAAAACTTCCGACGAGGCTGCCGAAATTAGGGCTGAGCTGGAGCCACCACAATTTCCCGATTCCTAGGGGAGTGGGGCGAGGAGCCAGCGCGCTCTTCCCTCGCCCTCCCGGAAGGGGCTAAATCTGGACTCAACCCCGGACCTGGCACTGGGTTAGTCGGGGGAGTATGGACCCGGACCCCTCCATCCCTGGGCCCGGCTGGGATCACTCACCCAAAACACTGTGGAGTAGATGATGAGTGAGAACTTGAGCCAGAGGTAGGAGAAGCGCGCGCAGTAGCGCACCTGCTCTGAGTCCCCACGGGGCATCCTGGTCGCTCCCCCCGCCGGGCTTCTGCACTCCTGAGCTCAGGCTTGGTCCCTCCGCCACCACTCAAGGCCCCACCTGCGGCTGTTGGGGCCGCCAGCCCCGCCACCAGCGCTCTCTCCCGGACTGACACGGACGCGCCGCAATCACTGCCCGGGCCTGGGAGCCGGCCGTCCTGACAGCCAATGGGAAGCAGCCTCTGGGAGGGGGCGGGCCGGGGGCGGGACTGCGGCTCCAGACCCGCGGAGACCAAGCGAGGGGAGGGGGCGAGTTTTGCAAATGAGCTCACGTCCAGCTCTGGAAACGCCTGCGCTCCTGGCGCTGGCGGGGGGCGTGGGAGAGTGTGGACCAGAGGTGCACCTCGGAGATCGATCGTACCTGACCTTGGGACATAAAAAGAAAGCAGATTTCGGGGGCTGGGGCGCTTGCCTAAGGCAGTCCGGCCAAAAACAATTTTTTTTTTTTTTAAATAGAAAGCAGTCTTTCCACCGTTGTCAAGAGAGAAGACTATGGGGAAAGGGCAGGTGTTAAAAGCATAAACGAGTGTGCAAGACGTGAATGGAATAAGGAAGTAGAGTTGTCCAGTTTCAGGGGAGCCCATTGCTGCGTCTAGGAAAGGTGAGCAGGCCAGGGTGGGGCTCAGGGAACCCCATGGAGCTGCAGTCTCTTCCTGAAACTGATCTGCTCCAGTCCTTTTCCCTGCTGATCATGAAAATCTTTGACACCTGATGATATCCCAACTCTGCTCCCAGAGCTGCTTCCTCAGGGAAGCCCAACCCCCACCCCATCTTCAAGCCAGGTCCAGTAGGTAGCTATCTCACTCAGCTGGGTTCTGACCAGCTTCTTCCGGCCTAGTCTCTTTGGGACCACAGGTAGCTGTAAGTCTGACTTCCGCGCTGGATGGTTCCAGCTTTACTCACAGTTGTTTTCCTGCCTCCCAGACCTAGCTCAGCCTAGGGCTTGAGAAGCAGACATGGCCCAGACAGAGGTCAAGAGCTAAGACAGTGCTGAGTGGGGTCCCTCGTGGCGATTCTAGGAATGGCATACTTAAGTCACTCCCCTCCCAGGGCTCCCAAGCCTTTTGCGCACACACACACACACACACTTCTTATACACAAGTACACAGAGACAGGCAGAGAGACAGAGACTAGCCTGGACCTAGCCCTAGGGCCCAGCCCTCTGACAAGGAAGAAAGTAAGACTCTGGTGTGAGGGAGGCAATTAAAAAACAGTTTCCTGGTGGATAAGAAGCAACTGTCCTTTGAAGAGGAAAGCAACCATTTACTTCTCGCTGGGGGACCGAGCCTTACCTCTACTCTTGAGGCGTTGGTCTTGGCCCCCTCCCGTTGTAGCCCCTCCATCTCCTGAAAGCCTGCCTTAGCCTTGCCCTCCCAGAGGCTGGCCTCCCGGTCTTCTTCCCCACTCTCTATATTAAACCATAGCTCCATCTCACCATACTCCTCCCCCATCAGGCTTTCCTTCCAGTTGCACTTTCTCTCATCTTTCAAGTATTCCCTGGTGACACCCAAGCTTCTAAGCTGGCCTCTCAGATGTCCCTCCTGGCAAGATGCCCTGAAGGCTGAGGGTGAGATGGTCCTGGGGAAGAATTCTAGACCCCTTTGAAGCTGGCACAGGGCTCCTTCATTGTCCTCTTCTACCCACAACCTGCAACCAACCCCAAATGCTGTCTTCTCAGCCACATTTACAAACACAGAGACCACAGAAGAAGGCAACCTGGTTCTACCTTTCCCTTCTTGCCCAGGAGCTGTGGCCTTCAAGGGTGGGGGGGACTGTCAGCAGGCTCAGTGCTAATCCTGGTTTTTCATATTCCCTTTTTATGGAACTGTTCAAATGTGGAGCACACCATGACACACAGGTGACTGAGACCCTGGCTGCAGATCAGACTCACCTGGTGAACTTTAAATGTATCCTGGGATACAAGCCCCAGTAGGGACCTGGGAATCAGTATTAGTGTTAAGCTCCCTGGTGATTTCTGAATGCAACCAGGGTTCAGTATCAAGTAGCCAAGAGCCTGAGGAAGCCAGCTCACTTTTTTTTTTTTTTTTTTTTGGAAAGCCACATCTCAGAGATCACTTCTTAGCTCTCCACTGTATACTGCAAATTATTCAAAAACTGACCAAGGGCCAGGCGCCAGTGGCTCATCATGCCTGTAATCCTAGCTACTCAGGAGGCAGAGATCAGGACGACTGGGTTCAAAGCCAGCCAAGGCAAATAGTTCTTAAGACTATTTCAAAAATACCCAACATAAAACAGGGCTTGCAGAGTGGCTCAAGTGGTAAAGCACTTGCCTAGCAAACATAAGGCCCCAAGTTCAAACCCCAATATCACCCAAAAACAAAAAAAATGGGGGTTTGTGGAGGCTGTTGCTGATTTCCATGTGAAAGTATTTCTACCACATCTAACATTAGGTTACCAACTTGAAGTTGATGAACCTGAGAGTTTAAGAGAGATATGTGTGGTCTTGCAGAGTCAATAATCAGTATCCCATACAGCTATCCATACCTCAATCCACCTAAAGCTTTACTGGTTACCATAATGAATGCATTGTGAAACCCTCAGCTTATTACTTAGCACGACAGGTACTAGAATTGAGCTTTCCTTTGGTGACATGAATAGTGTTCAAGATGCATGGACTGGCCAAAATGGCTTAGATACCATCCATTTCTTATTCAAACAGAGTAAAAGACTCTCGGGAAGCAACTGGTTCTTTCTTAAAGATGGGGAACTACATAGGCCAGGTGCAGTCATCCACATGTGTAATCCCAGCTAATGAAGAGGTAGAGACAAGAGGATCATGGTTTTGAGGCCAATCCTTGCAAACATTATCAAGACCCTATCTCAAAAACAAGCCAAGTGTGGTGGTACACACCTGTGGTCCCAGCTACTGAGAAGGCAAAGGCAGGAGGATTATAGTCTGAGGTCAGCCGAGGGTGGAGGCTCCATCTGCCCTATCTGAAAAACGAAAGAGCAAAAGGGCTTGGGGGGCATAGCTCGAGTGAGGCCCTGAGTTCAATCTCTAGTACAGGAGGGAAAAAAAAAAACAGATAGTGCACTGGGCTAAATCCTTGAGGGAGGGCCCCATCCCTCAGCTACAACCATCAGTCTATTTGAATTCTGCCTCTAGAATGTTCTGTTTTCCCTGAACAGACTTTTCCTACAAGGTAGTATACTGCTAAGAGAACAGAGAACTGGGCCTGCATTGACTTCACGGAAGTTCTAGGAACCAGTTTTGTGGCCACTTGTGCATAGTTTTACTCTGTGGATATTTCTGTGAGCAGCAGAATGTGTTCTGAGATCTGTTACCATGATATCTTGGCAGGAACATTTAGGGGGAAATAACCCTTGTCTTTAGTAGCTACTGTGGTTGATAGAAAAGAACGTAAGAATCATGCAAGGCTGATATGCTTGGGTAAACTTACATCCGTGTAGCTGGGCTCGTGCCCCTCTCTGTGCCTCCGTTTCCCCATCTGTGAAACATGAGATTGGACTGTTTCTGTTCCAGCTCTGACAGTCTTAGCCAGAATCCTCAGTCAATAGATCAGTCAAAAAATGTATACTGAGCCTCAATACTGAGTCAAGTCCTGCCAAGTTGTGGGGATCCAACTTCAACCAAGACAAGAACTTCTGTCCTATTCTGATGGGCAGGTGGAGGAGATGCAGTGCAATAAAGCATACACAATGAAAAGGGTGCATACTAATGATTGAACAGAAGAGCCTCCAAGTGGAAGAAAAAGCAAGTGCAAAGGCCATGAGACAGGAAAGCCTTGGAGAGATTCTTGTGGCTCATACAAGGGTAAGGAAGAGTGGAAGGAGGTGGGGTGAGGGACACAGATAGAAGCCTTGTAGCTTTAGTAAGCAAGTTTGGCTTATTTCCATTTTCAATGCAGGCCACTGGTAGGGCTTAAGCAGGGACATGATATGGAATCAGACCTGTGTTTAGAAGGCTGCTTGGTGGAGGAGTGGGAGGCATGGGAGTAAGGAGCAGCAGTGCCAGTGCGAGAAGGCTTGGACCAGAGGTACAGCATGGAAATGAGGACAAGTGGTTCGATTGGGGTATAGATTAGAGGTAGAGCTAAAAAGGTTTATTGATGGACTGGATGTGGAGTGTGAAGAAAGAGAAATCTGGAGGCTCCCAAGGGTTTGGTTTGGTTTTGCCTTGAGCAACTCAGTAGATGTTGCTGTCTTGCAAAGGTGAGGAAGATAAGGAAAAGTGGAGAGGCCAAAGGAGTCAAAATTCAATTACTTTCACCTTTTCTATCTGTCTATTTATTTTACATTGCTAGGTATGGAACCAGGCCTTCATGCATGCTAGGCAAGTCTCTACCACTGAGAAATACCTCCAGCCCTACTTTATTTTTTGAGATTGGGGTTTTTGTTTGTTTTTTAAAACCCAGGGAGTTGTCTAGGAAGCCCAGAGGTGAGGTTTGAATTCGACAGTATAAATTTGAGAGTCATCAGACCAATTTAAACTTTGGGCCATCTAGGGACAGAGTATAGCAAGAGAGTTATAAACATTCTGGTCCCCTCCAACATTGAGAGGAAGAAGGAGGGGCCAGCAAAGAAAACAGAGAGTTCAGCCAGTGGGCAATGTGACAAGGGTGGTTGGAGAAGTTGAAAGAGAGGTAGAACAGAATTTAGTGTGATGGGAACTCCCCCGTCATGTACAAGGCTTCCACTCTGTCCTGAGAGGTCAAGTTGGGGAAGAAGAGAGAATCAACCATTGGCTTTAGAAGATGTGAGTGGTCATTGGTGACCTTTATAAGAGGTTTTTAGATTTGTTCATTTGTTTTTTGGTGGGCCTGGGGTCTGAACTCAGGATCTCATGCTTGCTAGGCAGGCACTCTACCTCTTGAGCCGCTCCACCAGCCCTGTTTTGTGTTGGGTATTTTTGAGATAGGGTCTTAGGAACTATTTGCCCAGAGCTGACTTCGAACCTCAATCCTGATCTCTTCCTCCTGAGTAGCTAGGATAGGCATGAGCCACTGGCACACGGCTTTGTTCTGTGTTTTGAAGACAAGTTATCACTATGTA